GGACCAGGGAGGATGATTCAACTACTCAACCACTAGATGTCGCTGAAAACAACAAATCCTACACACTGTGCCTTTAGGCAAAGAGTAAATCAGGTTTAGAGCTGATTTATGACACTTTGCTGCCACAGACAATCTGACAGACTGAGAATTATTATTTTTTAAATTTGCTCAACTCCAGTCTGAAATATTTATCTGTTGAACCGCAGAAGAAACATCTTTTGCTTGTTTTCAGGGTTCTCCCTCCTCATCGTCAGATGAAGACGACAGTGCGAAGAAATGGATGAAGAAAAAATTGAAGATGAAAAAAAAGCTCACGCTGACTTTCTTCAAAAAGAAGGAGAAACATCGGAAAGACTTGAGTTCAGAAGATGATCCTAAACTTCCTCCTCAGAGGTCCGGTGAGCGGCCAGGTGGTACAGGACCAGAGCCAACCCGGGTCACCTCTCCCAGTAAGAGCTCAACAGAAACATGAAAGACTTTCTAGCTGACAGTATCAAACTACAAAATACTGAAACTAACCTAGGTACATGAAATWTAAAGGAAAGGACACAGTGTGTACACAGTTTGATGAATCAGAATATTTTTATGTCTACACACTTTTCACATTTCATCCCTACACTGTAGGCCTGTAGTCTGGATCTTTGATCCATCAGGCTCCACATGTAAGAAACTCAATCTGCACAAATCTGACAAAACTTCGTACACTCTGAKCAGCATAGAGTGGTTCCCAACCTTTTTAGACTTGTGTACCCCCTGAGCCATTGTGTCATACCACTAGTACCCCCTCAGTCAAACGTAATGATTCTCCAAAACTATAATGTACAACARCTGATTATTAAGTGAAAGTTTTTTTATTTAACCTCCTCGAACAATTAATTCTCAGGCAATTTATTATTTTCAAATCAAATTAAACGTAAAGATAAAAACGTTGCCTTGAAAGTGAATAAGTAATTAAATAAATAAACCAGGTAAAGGCAGATGCAGGAAGCAGCAGTGTCCAAAATACTTTGTATTGTTCAAAAATACATTAAATACCCAAAATGAGCAAATTCTATGAGTGTCTGCTTTTTATACAGGATTCCATTTTGTGTCAATTTCGTGATTCCGTCAGCATTTTCCACATCGTGGACATCATAGGGTCCTACATATCTCAGTCCTATTTTTAGTACACACCTAGGAAATTTTTCCACGTACCCCCTGTAATATGCTCGCGTACCCTAAAGGGTACACRTACCCCTGGTTGGGAATCACTGGATTATAGCACACAGCACGACTCAGTTTAAATATCCTAATAAATCAGACATCTGATTCTGTAACATGATKAGATTAACTTCTGAGGCATTTKAAGCATTACGCATGTTTAGTGACATTTTCCCAGTGGTTTGACCATCAAAAAGCATAAAGTCCCTCAGCTAACCCCGCCCCCTGCTCCTAAACGTGTCCAGACAGAGAGATCTGAAGTGTATTTATTTTGATGTTTGTGTTGAAACAGGTCATCCTCCTCAGTTCTACAACAAAGTCGCAGGACAACTGGAAAAGATTGCCAAGTCTAACAAGATAAAGACACCAAGTCTAGTTATAAAACCACCAGCAGGTAAACACTTTCACACTCATACAGGTCATTTCTGATCAACCTGATTTCAGTTAGGATGCTGCTGTAAAAGTCTGGACTGAACATCTGACACACAGGATATACTCCCCTCCCCTCCTCCCAATAAAATACTTAGATTTTGTAATGTAAAAATAAAAACACGATCCTTCATTTCAAGACGTTTTGCACCTTTACTGTGACATATCCTATGTCAACTGAAGATAATCTGTAGTAAAAAGTATTTGAAAAGCTGGTTGCAGAAGTGTGCTCATTTTAAAACTAACTCTGTTGAAACACTTTTTAATAGATGACAGAASTGAGTCTTGTTGGAGTCTATCAGAAGACAAACTGAATTTTGAGYATTTTAACAAAGAGTGTTACCACACAGAATTTTTCATCAGATTTAGACTTTAGTTGGAGTTTACTGACAGTAGTTTAATTTAATCCCACAGAATGAGGCTGCCACCACCATGTTTCACTGTGGGTCTTTGTTAGGGCYGCRCCGATTAGTTGAAATAATCGATGACGTCGATTATGTAAATTTGTCGACGCAGATTTTTTATTATCGATTYDCTGTATTACATAACCACCACGTGAATGTTCATGCATTTCCATTTCGGTACCTAAATGCATCATTGCGACCATATTGGCATAAGAGTGGTGAGTTTTTCATGCTTGTCCTGAACGCAGCATCGTACAAGAGCGTAATGACGTCAGCAGCCGCTGGTTCAGTTCAGTCTGAAGCTTGAAAACAAGCCTCACAGC